TTTTCTATTTAGCGCTCCAATTTTTGTCTTCTTGTGTATATAGGTCATAAAAGTCTGCTTATACTAATGAGAGAACAATCATCATTTTCCCCTTCCCTGAGAAAGTTGGATTTGCTTCCTTATCATTCTTATCAATTTTGTAATTGTTGAAGGCTTTTGTCATATCATTTTTTTTGTCAGGTTTAAGCAGGGGAATTTCATTTGTGGTCGACAATTGATGTCATTTGCTACGAAAATTCAGTAACGATCAGCAAAATATCAATGTTGACGAAGAACTGATAGCGTAGTATTTCGCCTAGCAGTTGCAACGCGCGTACATCACTGCATAATATACTTCGCGGATCTTTACAGTATATGTTAATCTGTTGGCTACTTTAAAAATTCAGCAATTTTGTCCTCAAAAATAGATTCTGGACTATTTGTTGGATATTGCAAGTAATAGTGGCGACTTATTAATTCAGCTAAATTTCCATGACCTCTTCTCCTTTCCGATCACGGAAGCACACACAACAGACTTTCGCTGCTGCTTGTTGCGCATCATTTGGGTTTAAAGGCATTTGGGTTGAAGGCGCTTTGCTTCCAAGCCATTCCTTGAAGGCAACCTTTTCGGTGACATCCATTTCTACCTCTCGTATGCACCAAGAAATTCTTTTCTCCCCTTAACGCGGCTGGTCAACCCGTCTGAATCCTCAGCATTTGGCGGCTGCATCGAGTATGTCGCTCTTAAAGAGCTTCCACTCAGTTTGCACAGCAGAAGCCGTCTCGAAGATCTGTTGAAACCGTCCTGCGATATTGTTTGCAAGTTTCTCCCTTGTTTCTGCCGAAGAAAATGTTTTCCATTTAATTCTCTGGTTTCTTTCACCGCCAGGTATTCGCATGCTCCCCTAACGTTTGCAACTGAGGATACTAGCAACAAGTTGGTAATCATTTGACAACTCTGTGCCTCTCTTAACGCGAACATCCATTACCGAGCGTCTTAAGCCAGACAATAGATTATCAAATCGATCATCGACTTCTGTACAAGAGCTTCACTCTATCAGGAATGCCGATGTGCACTTAGACATTCGAAGAGGGTGTTCACAACAGGCAGTTGTTTGCACAAAACTGCATTAACTTTATGCCGTTATTGTTAAAGTGATTAGAGCCGTTCTTTTAACATTCTACTAATTTCTGAACGATTTATGAAACACTACTAAATCTGTACTTGCAAATACCACATTTGCTCGAATGACCATGCTGTATCGTCGAAGGCAAGCCATCATTTTCTCGTTCATCTAGTAAACAGAACCCACAGAAGTGGCAGAGAACTTTGTCAGGAGGGTGAAATAATGAGGATCGGTAAGGCAGTCAAAAAGGGTGGTTGACTGACTCCACCCCTGTCCAAGATTCTATGGGTGTCCCATTGACAGTTAAGAAGGGACACCTTGAATGGTTGGCTTGACATTTTCGATATCTATTCAGCAGCTGTTCCCTAGATTTCTCCTTTCCTACCAAGTATAAGTGTAATCCTGTTCAAACCTAGAAATCCAAGTGGCCT